TGTTGACACTTTTCGACTCTTTAATAATCCAAAAAATTACACAACATTTTTAAGGGGATTGTTTATATGAAAATTTTAAAAATGGAATAGATAACGAGGTAATATTTACAATATCTTATATTCAACAAATTTGTTCTCATTTTTTGAATGTCTTTCAATTTTTGAAATCCAAATTGATTTGCAATAAAATTGACTTTCGCTTTTCCAAATTTGCCACCATTTTTAACTCTGTACTTTTTTTGCACTTTTGAAATCACAGATTCAGATCCAAGATTTAAAAATATATGTATTGTGCAATAACAACATACAAGTATTTCAATAAGGAATAATTTTTTGATTAGAATGTCAAATTTTAGTTCTAAATTTAAAAAATTCGAATCAACTTTTACCGCATTTCTGGCCCCCGTCATAATTTTAATGCTGAATAAGAAAGTACTGACTAGTTATGAGATGTAGAAGTAGAAGTACAGTCGTCGTTTCGGCTTACCATCGACTTTATTTGGAGCTCCACTAATGCTAAAATAAGTCTTTAATTTAGCGAAATCATTTCTAAAATTTGTATGTTTTTTGAAAACAAAATTTTGTATAAATTTCATTTTAAATAATCACTGTTTATTTCCTCTATTCAAACAGTAATTTTTGTGATAAGCATTTAACGTTTAATTTATTTCAATAGACATTTTCGTTATATCCTTTTCGATAATTATCGATTAATATATTACAACAAATTGTAAATTATTAAATTAAGAGCTTATGACATATTTAATATTTATTTAAATTTTCAATTTAATAAAATTGATATAGAAAAAAGTTAAATAGGCTTTAAAAATGTCAATTTTAAAAATTATTAACAGAATTAATTCCTAAAATGAAAAACTATAAGGTTCGCTTAAGAAATTTCAAATTCAAAATTTGATATGGTCATACTTTAAAATGCTCTTCCAAATTATCTTCATTAACTAAGAGAGTTTATTTTGATGAAAATAATGAGTAGAAAATTGTTAAAAGTTTTCGATTTTTTCAAAACAAACTCTTCCGTACTTTCTTACACATCAATTAATTTGTTGAGTGTTTTGCACAAATCTGTTGCATAGTGTAGCGCCTTGAAGAAATTCTCGGGCGGCATACGCTGTCGTTGGATCAGTCAAAGGGTCAATGAAAGCGTGCAGCGTGCAGCTTGAGGCATGTTGCATTTGATTAAGTCATGGTACTATTTTTAAAATGTCGACGTTTGAATTTGTCGCAGCGACTGCAACATGTTGCACATTTGAAGCGGCAGCAGCAGCAGCCGCAGCCGCAGACGACAATATCGGGCCAGGAAGTTGGTGTCGACTTGACTTGACTTGCCTACTGGGGGCCAATGTGTCTATAATTCTGCTGCCTGCCTGCTTGCTCGCCTGCCTGACACAATTTATAAAGCCCGCGGCACTGGAGTTGAGTCATTTTTTGACTTTACTTGGCGGCTGCTCTGCTCTGCTCGGCTCGGCTCGGTGCGGCTCTCTTTGGTTGCTTTGGAGTTCAACCTACATGCTCAGTGATTTTTATTGTTATTGCTAGTTGTCAAAGGAAGTGCGCTGTTCTTTTGCTTTTTTCCATTTTTCGTAAATTATTTCCTGTGCCAGTGTGCAAAAGGCAGATGTGCGCCACAGCGGGCGGTACGGCGAGTGGCGGCATGAAACCTAATGGGCAATCACCGAAGTCGTCGTCGCCGTTGTCGTCGTCGTGGTTATTCTTTTTTCTGAATTTCAAAGAGTTGAATGCACGCGCTCTCGTAGAACTCGTAGTAAGCACAAGAAATGCGCCCACTGTGAATAGCTTTGGGGCTGAACTTCCAAGACACATGTATACTATATTGTATTACGTAGCAATACTTTCATGCTGGCAGGCAATGAAATATAGAACAGTTATGCGCAGTGTACTCGTATGTCTGGCAGTTGTGCCCGCAATAAGGAGCAATAAGGAGTTTTCAACTCTCGAACTACAAATCATTAGAGAAAGAAATGCCATGCACTCCATATGTGTATATATTTTACACATTTCGTTAATGCCCGCTTTCTCTATTGCGCCACATAGTTAAACTAGTGACGTCATCAAGTACTTAAACGAATGTAATTATTTGATCGTATTGCACGCTTTGTTTTTTCCCACAGCTTAAACTAAGAGCAATTAAACAAGAAACGAATTTCAGGATATGTATCAAATGTTTTAACCAACACTTTTCTGATTATACATACATATACGTCTTCTAATATGAATTTTAGCTATCATTAAACGTAAATAAACTTCTGGTCAGGATACCTTATAATCTCAATAATACCTTACAAAGGCGCAGTCCTAGTTTTTGAAAGAGTTGGTCAAATGGCTAAACTTATTTCAGAATCGTGAACTCTTAGAATAATCAATATTATGGTTAGCTACAAACAGATTAGTTTGAGGCATAAACTCTCTAGCTAGTTTCGGGAAATATTGTAGTCAAGTCAAAACGTTATCTTATGATTTTGCATGAAATCAACAAAATTGTAACAGCGAGAGCGACTTTAATTCTTCGTTTTTTCTTACAGTTATGTACAGTTGTAAATATTTTAAAATTATGAGGCATACCAGAAATATCTCTATATATAGTATAAATGCTAATAAAATCAGATATAATTCTATATTTATATCGGAATTCTATATCGGAAAAAGAAAAGAAAATTAAATAAATTGGTTTTTCTTACTCTGACCTCGAGCCGGCCAAACAATAAAAATTCTATATTTAAATGCGAATGATAATACTATACATACATATATCTAATGCTCGCTCATGTATGTATGTTTGATCAGATCTTGTTGTTAATACAAGTAGTGTGGTTTGAAAACCCCGAAACCATGAACTTTATAAACAGATATATAATCGACTTTAACTAGTACTAGCTTAAGCCAATAAGTGCAAATATGTATATATACTATATGTTTTGAAATCATTAAGTATTTGCTTATTTGCGTATATAAAAGCGAATCATAGTTTATTCATAAACTGCCATCAACTTAGGAGTAGTTTCGAAAGTGGTTCCTAGTCCCATTGAGCTAAAATGTTCGAATTTGCTTTATTTTAGTACTCAAATGCGAATCAAAACCAATTCAAAATTTATTCAACATTTATTTAAAATAGCTTCACAACGTTCAAAAGTTCTTTATGGAAAAGACTAAATGAACTTATTTAAAGAATAAATTATTGCCTTGCGAGTAGTAGCTCTGCTAGGCTCGCTGATTTGTGAATTCTACAAATCTGTACATTTCCATCCTGGTAGCCTAATCAGCTTAAAAACCGCAACGTTTTAATACAGACTTTGTCTCCCTTTAGGTAAAAATGTCGGTTAGAACAAACAAACTACATCTTTGCTCTCAGGCTGTCAACAGGACATTAGGAATAACATTATCTGTACAAAGAAGATTGGAAAGAAATTATTACTTAATAGACATACAGTTTCTTTCTTATCCTAGGGCTAAGGGGTTTTTGTATAGATCTCGCTGATTAGAAATTCCAGCCACTCATTGTTTGCTGAACGTAAATAAATAAACCAATTTTAATCAGTTGAGTTGAACCGCTTGTGTGGTCGCAGCTATTGCTCTACAAAACGCAACAGAAATCATAGACACCAACCGCACTTAACTACCTACGAACCAATTCATCAAATATAATTAACATAAACATCACAACAAACAAATGAGTTGCGATATACATATACATACATTGTAGCCAGCGAGAGAGTCAGAGACGCTTCATTAACTCAGTTCTGCGCCATTTTGGGTTTGTTTGGCCAGCCAGCCAGCAATCCAGCCAGCCAGAGACCACAGTTGGGTCAAACCGCAAATGAGAACTACGGTACGGCGTCGGCGTCGGCAACAATAACAATCACAGCAACAGCAACTACATTAACTATGCAGGCAAGCAGGCAGGCAGGCAGGCAGGCAGCAGGCAAACGAACCGAAAAAGAACAAATCTGAAACTTGGCTAACAACAAAATTTATTCCCTGCTGGTTGTTACCTATCGGTTTTGTTTTCTTTACCTTTTTTGCCTGCTCAGAGCAGTGTGTGTGTGTGCGTGTTTCTGTTTAAATCAACTAGCCGTAGAACGGGGCGACACGGGTTTGTTTTTGTTATAGATTTTCAACTGGTAGATAAACTCAAAAATAGTTCCTAGGAATTCCCTAAACTCGAGCGCGTTCGCATGTTTATTTATACAATGTAGCAGAGGCCGCGACGACTGTCTGCGCAGCAAGCGAGCAAATAAACTTCAAGTCGAATATGGAAATGAATGTCGAGGAATTGAGTGCATCTGCATACATACAACCCGAGATACACTGTATATTTATAAGTAAACAAGCCGTGGTAATGAGTTGTGGTGCATAATGGTGTCAGAGAAGCGTCATAAAATTCTGGCGGTGGTGGTGGTGGTGTTGGTGAAGCATGCAAATAGACTATGACTTCTCATATTAAATGAAAGCATGCTTAGAAACGAGCTGAAGCAGCTTAGGCCGATTTCAATTGCTCGAGCCAAAGCCAAGTTATGCTTAGGACAGCAGAATTGAGTAGGTAGGGATAGTCCGCAACATGCCATGGTTAGGTGAGCTCCTCTTCTCAGAGAATAAAATTACTAAATGAAAGAAAAAACGCAGCAGATATGAATAGATACACGTATAGTATGTGTAGTAGTATAAATAGTTCCCAACAAATCGAAAGAGAACCATCAGTCGTTTCGGTTTAAATAAAAACATAAGCAAGAACTACTCAAATGAAACCCTTTTCATACACGATCTCAGGGAATTTGATCAACTTTAAACCGATCTAGCCTGACTCGAGTTATGATTGGGTTTAGACAGACTTGAGTATAGTAAGGATAGTATATTGCATGATAAAAAATATCACTTGACTTCACCACTACTCTATAAAAGTTACCGAACACTGAAACATAACACTAATCCATTTTATTCTTCCTTCTCATTCATTCATTTTGCAGGCGTTTCGGCAGAGGTCTATTATGTGCGCGAGGGCCTCATCAATAACTATGCCCTGAACTTCATTGTGCCAGTGCCGGCGAATGTACGTGACATTAGCTTCACCTGGCAATCGCTGGCGGGTCGTCCCCTGCCCTACAGCATTAATGTGGTCAGTTCGGATCAAGAGGTATTGCCGCGTCCGGCCATGAATGTCACGCAAATTGGTGAGATGCCCACGTACATCCAAACCTGGGCCTTAGCCCTCAAATGCAGCGGTGTGCGGGCGGCGGAAGTGGATGTTACCATTAGCGTGGAGGTCATACTGAATCGTGCTCTCAACAATGTCACCCATTTGGTGTTTCGACGCAAGAAGATTTGTCTGCTCAGCGAGAGTGGCGAGGTTGAGCAGCCGGGCGATGATCTGGATGATCCGTTGTTGCTGGAAACGGTCCTGCCACCGCCCACTGGACTCATTACCCTAGTGGTGGGCGTGTCCTTCGCTTTGGCCACGGTTAGCATTCTGCTATTGGTCGGTTATTGCGTGCGTGGTGCTGCGGCGAAGCGACAGCTTCATCAACACGGCGGTCAGCCGATGCGCACCTCGAGCTTCCAGCGCCTGAATACCCACCCACCCTGCCAGTCTTCCATGGGTTCGGCAGCGTACATGACTCCCTCGATTATAGCGCCGGTGCATGCCTCGTCTCTGCCCCGAAAGGTGCCAGTGGAGCAGCAGCAACAGCCGGAGGAGCTTCAACGTCGCATCTCTGAACTGACCGTAGAGCGTTGTCGGGTGCGTTTGTCCAGTCTGCTGCAGGAAGGCACCTTTGGACGTGTCTACCGTGGCACCTACAATGATAACCAGGATGTGCTGGTCAAGACGGTGGCCCAACATGCCAGCCAAATGCAAGTCCTATTGCTGCTGCAGGAAGGCATGTTGTTGTACGGCGCGTCTCACCCGGGCATTCTCTCTGTGCTGGGCGTCTCCATTGAGGATCACACCACACCTTTTGTACTATACCCAGCGGTGAATAATACTCGCAATCTGAAACTATTCCTCTTGGATCCGGCCTGTGCCCGCACCATAACCACCATACAAATTGTGATGATGGCCTCACAGCTATCCATGGCACTCGGTCATTTGCATAGTCATGGAGTGGTTCACAAGGATATTGCAACTAGAAATTGCATGTAAGTATCAAGGGAGAGACTCCACATTAACACTTAACTGATATTTTCAAACCAATTATTAGGCGATTATTAAGTCTTCCCTCAAAAATCTATCTCCAATCTAAAACAACTCTCATATAGTTAGAATTACAGTATTCCTAGCAAGTCCTACATCGATATTTGTTCAATTTTCTTACAGCATCGACAATCAGTTGCGCGTCAAACTCTCTGATAGCTCGCTCTCGCGCGATCTATTCCCCGCCGACTACAATTGTTTGGGCGATAGCGAGAATAGACCCATCAAATGGATGTCTCTGGAGGCCTTGCAGCACAAGCTGTTCTCCGAGGCCAGTGACTCGTGGGCCTTTGGTGTACTCATGTGGGAGCTCTGCACCTCGGCTAAGCAGCCCTATGCTGAGGTGGATCCCTTCGAAATGGAGCATTACCTCAAGGATGGGTATCGTCTGGCACAGCCTTTCAATTGTCCCGATGAGCTGTAAGTATCAGCGATCGCAGCCTCTCCCTCCAACTAACCTCTAACTCCGACACTTCGTTTCTGTGCTTTCTTTCATTGCAGCTTTACCATAATGGCCTATTGCTGGGCCCTCTTACCCGGGGAGCGTCCCACCTTTGCGCAGCTACAGGCCTGCCTCTCGGACTTTTATTCCCAAATCACGCGCTATGTCTAGACTCTAGACCCTAGAGGATATAATCAGCGCTCACTTGAAAAGTGCGCGCATAGTCCACTTTACTCATCTACACGTTTCTCGAATTCCCATTACCCTAGATAGTTCAAGTTATGTCCACCTCCCCCCTGTAGCCTATGTACTCTTCGTTATATGTATATTGCATTTGCCAAATCTAATTTGTAGGTTCTTTGGTAATACCGGGGCGCGTCTTCGTGTAAATAGTACATTTAATTTTATCCTAAGTTCTCTTTAATTTCTCCAACGAAAGACTCATATTTGTATGCGTATGAATATAGAAATATACACCTAACGATTTATATATATAAATTGCACGGATTTTGTACAATTTGGAAATAGTTTTACACCAGAGTGTCGGCCACAATCGGACAACTCTATAACGGTATGAGCCGTACTCTAAATTTCAGCCAATTACGTAACGCAATTTAAGAGCAGAACGAAATCTTCAAGCGAAATCAAATATAGTGATATTTATCTTAACAGTTAGTTATACACAGTAAAGAGTTTTTACAAAATATACATATGTTACATACACAAGCAAAGGATAATAAATATATTTCAAAAATAGCACACATGCAATACAAAATGATTAACAATTTGTGGACACTCATATACATATGCCGATTTTTTGAATATGAAATATTTAAAATGAGAAAACAAGATATACGATTAATAAAAATATGCAAAAAACAATAAACTAAATGCATTTTATTATTTTCTTTCGATGTTTGGTCTTTAAACAAAGGTAAGACGATATGAAAAAATAAATAAGCAACGAATTTTAGGTGTTGCTGCCCGATTTCGAACTATTTTGAAGCCGCACCCTCAAAAGAACAACAACATCAATTTTTAGAGAGTCACATTTTAAAAGGAGTGCTCGGAATAATAACGAATAATTCCAATCTAATTCGATTCGAACTTTTCAAAATGGTTTGTAATATTAACAAAGTTGCCAAAACCCCATTTGACGCCAACATTTAATTTTTTCAGGCATTAATTCATATTTGATATCTGATATAAGGATCTTGATCGTTTCCAGAAACAACAGTGTATTTTTAAAAAAACATTTAGTATACAATAATAATCGATTCTTTTATTTTATTAGTAGTAGTGGAGTACTAAAATTTCACAAGATTTTAATATAGTTATAGTAATCGTACAAAATGTAGACTTATTTTGGGGCAAAATATTTTGCTTATCTAAGTAAATAATGATTACAAACTCACCTTATTATTTTAACAATGCACACATTTTCTATTCCGAAAATGTAATCTGGAATAAAGAATTATTTTTTAATGGAGTTTTTCTAATTTGAAAGGTGTTTCTTCTTATACAAATTAAAATTTAGTTAACATGTTTATTGGAGTCGTTTTTAAAAGAAACGTTTCAATCGCCATTGTAAGTATATCGGTCGGTCTTTTTTTTAGTTACTAAGCTGAAAATATTTCTCGCATTCGGTTTCGGTAAAAGTTAATACTATTACGAAGTGGATGGTCAAGTATACGCCGCAGATACTCGATAAAAAATAAAAAAAAATCAAGGAAAACTATAAAATCCAGCTGTAAATATCAGTCATTCATTAAGCCATTTACTATAGGTTCTGGATGTTCATTTTGAAACAATAAACACGATCCATTAACTCCTTTGGTACTCGTTGTTAATATTGAATACGAAATGTTCACAATCTTTAAACAATTTGTATTAAAATTCCTCAAACGTGCCACAGAAAAATGTCGATATAACATAAGTAACCTGTAATATTAATTTCACTTTAACGACCAGTTAGGTCATTAAAATTTATTGAGATTTCGGTAAAAGAGGTTCCCAAGGCAACCATACTCGAGGGCTATAATAAATACACAACACGCCCCTCGCAGACAACAGTCACCTAAGAGCAATGCCAAGCAGTTCAGGATACTCTTTTTTTCCGTTGAAAAGGAAAAACTTGCTCGCATACGCGGAAATTTATGACGACCTTTTGCTGAGTAGCTGTTGCTTAGAATCAAGAAAAGGCAGGACGCTGAGCATACTTAAAAAAAAGAAGGGAAACATAGGAAAAATGTCGACATATAGACCAGAGACTAGGCACTGAAATTAGCCATAAATTTTAATTTTACATGACAATGTTAAGGCGGAGAAGGCGACAGCAATGAAGAAGAACAAGAAACGAAAAATACCAGAGTGTTGGTGTTTTGGAAGCGCCTACAGGCGAAAGAGATGAGAAGAGGAGACAAATCAATTTTGCTGCTTGCTGGCGTGTCCTTGGCGGAGAGCAGGATAATGTGTATAAAGCAGATAACCATATATCTTCCGCATGTGAGTCTGTGTGTGGTTAAGTAGGCATTAGGCATGTCTCGATGTGTGTTTGTTTGTTTGTGTTGGTGGGTGTCGGTTGACAACACATATCCTTCGGTGTCCTTACACTTTTAGCAGCCATTGCCAGAGTCATATCGTAAATATTTTGACAAAATCGCTTTTGCTTTTGCTTTTGTGTTGCCTGTTTGCTGTTGTTGGTCGGGCACCTGCTGTTTTTGCCTTCCCTTGCCTTGCCTTGACTGGCTTTCGTAATCCTTGTGCGAGTGCCGTTTGTTTGTGTCTTGACCCGGTTCGCTCGCTTCTTGTGCGCTTAAGCTGCTTTAAAGTTAGTGCCTGTTGCTTTGACTGGCCAAGGCAGCTGCTGTTGTTGTGCTCAGCAACAAATTATGGCCAGCTGTTGCGCAAAATAGTTTATTGGTCAAGATCATGTGACAATAAACATAAAATGAAAACAACGTTGAACAGCATACAAGTATTTAAAATAACATCATAAACGGAAAGCGTTCGAAATCCATTGCTGGTCGAATTCAGCAGAATGAGTAAAATCTCTCGCGAGTCCACTAATTGGCTTTGAGATAAGGAAGGAAAAAAGGGAAAACCAAAAGATAATAAAAAACAAAAGAGATTCTGTGAAATGCCGAAGAACGAATATGTATTGTAGAAGTTGGAACATTACAGAATAAACATTTTCGACATATCAAATGGTTTTTGTTAAAACATAGTTGGTTTTCTCATAAAATTTAAATGAAGAAGAGTAAATAGCTATCGAAAATCATGATTTTAAAATGTTGGTGGCTGTGGCATTTAAAAAAATCGGATTTTACTAAGTTTTGCAATTTCAAACGATTTCGACTTTTCTACGGATATTTAAGGTTATCTTGCAATATAAATAACAATTAATCGAATACATCATACGAAAATGTAGTCTCTTAGAAACAATATAATTTTTCGGCCTGGTGAAATTTTTTGTAATATACAGACAATAGTCCTACAGTTTAAATAAATTTGCAATCACACTAGTTGATAATGAATTGAAATTGCATGCACTATTCATAATAATTGTAATCTGATTAGAGATTTTTATTGAAGAATTTCCATATACTTTCATCGCAAATTATATGTAATTTTTCAACGCATTTATTGGTCAAATAAATTTATAAAAGTTATTGAAAACCAATGATACAATTATAATTGAGTTTGCAAGACTTAGACAACAAAGATTTCACTTATCTGAGTTCAAAATGCATTTCGCTAAATTGAATTTAAAATCCTCCTATTCGCCGATTTATTATTATAAGAACAATTTCGGATAGATTGGATTATGCTAAAATTTCTAAACATGAGAAAAATGTGTAGAACTTCTACATCTTATGGACATTTTAGTCGAATGGCAATTTTCTATTACAAGTAGAGTGTAAGTAGTAGTTTTAAGAGATATTTTAAAACTTAAATACTTACATTGTTCTATGTTCTAGTATTTAAAGAATTTAAAAACGTGTACTGTTAGAGAGTGGTTTCAATTCTGGAATATATAATATTTATAATAGCAAAACGACACATTTCAATTGAGAACATAAAAGATACATACATAGATAATTCTAAAATAAAAAGAATTTTCTAATTGTGTATCGATTTTCTGGAGAATATATATATTCATCAATGATACCGGAAAAAAAAGATAAAAGATGAAACCAACATAACAACATTTCAATTGAGCTGTTATCTGATACAAACACAATTCAAAATTCGACCCTGAAAGAATTTCCAATTTATAGGCTGTTCTTTAATAAATTTGAAACTGAATTAATTTTCGAAATACTTTAAATCGACTGCAAAAAAGTCGAAAGATATGATAAATGACGCACAAACTGTACAACATTTCAATTGAGGAGCAAAGAGCTGCAAAGCTGTATTCATTTGCCGCACTCTTGAGCTGTTGTTTAAAGCCAACTTGTCATAACTGCCGTTAGTCCGCCATCAATAACCGAAATGTAGTTCTCTCTGACAGCCATATCCAATTTTTCATATGCTAAAAAGCCAAGCGAATGCATCATTCAAAATCACTTCGACGTATTGCTCCGCAGGTAGCCCTCACCCATTTACAGTGCCGTCTGAATTATTAATACCTGTGCGCTTGGCCTGCACTGCAGGTGATTTTGCTAACGAGCCGAACGCTTCGTCGGTTGGCGTCGGCGTTGGCGTCGGCATCGACATCGGACACGAGAGTGCGGTTCAGGGGGCGACAGGGGGACTGACACACACAGCTAACAAAAGGCAGAAAACAAATATCACAGGGCAATAAATTTCAATAGAGGCAACGGGTTTTCGGGCACAGGCTCTGTATGTCGATGTGGGTGAGTGTACAGGTGGCTTTCAAGCTGATTAGCGTTGTGTTAAATAGCAAGAAGTTCTTCTACTTGTAACTCCCTAAGTGTGTGTGCGCCGTGTTGTAACAGGTTGAAATGCTAAATGGTTTGTTCAAGAAATTTGTTAATTATCATCTTGCCTTTAAAACTTGGCCACAAATCAATGGGAACTTCAATTCTCTTTCTCTCTACAGAAAAATTAACATAAATTTACATTTGAAATTCAATAAGAAAACTTTTTCCCCGGTGATATATGATGGCAATCTTTATTAACAACTAATTTTGAATAGATCCAACATAGAGATAGAACAATAAAGACTCATAATTCCGTAAATCATTATGAACGCAACTTTGGAGAGGGATTATGATTACAACACATATCGGTATTTGGTGCTAATTGTATAAATTAACTGTACTTTCCACTTTTTAATCTCATCATATAACAAATATCTAAATACACTTTCTAATAAAGCTATTTTTAACTCTAATCCAGATTTGTGAGCTAGAATTTTGGCAATTATAGATGCTGACTTATTTAATGAATTTGATATCCTAATGAAATATCTTTCTATTAAAATACCATGAACATATTTAAAGTAAAAATGAATGGTTGGAATATACTACATAGCATGTTGATCGATTAAAATTAACGCTTCGATATAACATACATTGATTATTAAGAAGAGAACAATGAGCTTTTTAATGAGAAATTAGAAGTGCGTACATCGTGGGAAAACTTCTTTAAAATAAACTAAATATCTGTGGGAAGCTTACTACAGTCGAAAACGTATGTATATCATCAGTTTTAAGCAGAATTTCAGAAAAACTAAAACTATTTGTAAGTTTGCCATAATATAATTTATAGACATATCGAAAACCAATTAAGAGTTGCAAAAAAGATATCTATATCAACATCAAATCCATGCGA